CCCCAAAACCCCAAAACCCCAAAACCCCAAAACCCCTTTTGTGTGTTTTAAGATTGAATTATTAACTATCTAGGTTTGAGATGAAATTAAATAATATTGTTTCATTTTCATTAGTGATTTTGAGTCTTTGATCGTTCTCATAATTTTTAATGCCATCTACTACTGATTTGAAGTTATAAGTTGAGTTTATTCTGAATAGAATTCGGTGGAGGAATTTTTGTAAGGAAGAATTCAAAACTCCATCCATGATGCTCTTTATCAAGTAGAAAGAGTCATCGTCATCCGATTCTTGGGAGCTTACACATTCAATAAAAACAATAGTCTGAAGATTGACTCCAACTTGTGTATTGGTATTGAAGAAGCTCTTTGTCAGCTGAAGTCCAGAGATTTTGCATAATGAAAAGGATAAGCCTATCAAATGTCTTGACATCACTATTATCGACTGGATCTACAACGAATTTTACAGAATTGCCAATTTTGCTTATAAAAAGCGGAAAATTAAAGACAGAAAGAATAATTCGAATTTTGAAGTTTAGAGAAGATAGCAAAAGTTTGATTTTATGATGAATTTAATCTCTGAAAATTAGTATATTTTTAAACAAAGTATCATAAACTAAGCAAACTGTTAAAATTCAATATATAGGTGATTTGCACTATTAAATAATGCTTACATCCTTCTTCTTCAATACAAACCTTTCGATTTGTAAATTTGTCTGAAACATCCATATTTTTGGTAAGATCTTGGTTTTTCACAAGCTATAAGATATTTCAATTAAATTCAGTCAACCAATTCTCTTGAAAAATAGCCTTATAGATTAGAAATCTCAACAAGGAATATAGTTCCAGAGTAATCTCAAGCATACCTAAATGAAGAGTAATCTTCGCCTGACTTGGCATCCAATCTAATTGTCAAATTATTGTATTCATGGCCTTTTGAGGCAGATTTTCTCATGCATTTTGTAATCTTCTTGAACTCTCTTCTTGTCAATATCCTTGAACCTATAAAGTTGAATAAAATTCTGATAAAACTTTATTAATATTTAGGAACATATTTCCCATCTTAAAGAAAGAAAAGTCAAGCAAAGGCTGAGGTATCGCTAATTAGCATTATCAAGTTGGCTTTGTACATCTTTGGTAGATTATTCCTCATAATAGGGTCTTCTAGATTTATTGACTGTTAAGGCTTTACAAAATATGCTGCTTACCATAATTTACCATAGGTCTTATATTTTCATGGAGTTTTCTAAAGATTCTATACTCTTCCAAGATCATAAGTTGATTAAACCTCGGCTCTGCTATTAATTTGAAATTAATATCAAGGTTATGTTTTAAATTTCTCAATAATGATACTTCTAACTTAGTTAGTTCTTTATTAGTTTGATCTTCTTTGCTAAGTAGCATGACTATTCCTTCTACAATACATTATCAAAACCATAAATACCCAATATATACAAATCTATCAAACCCCACCTAAAAACCACCCATCCACAACCTAAATTTCCCACCAATAAACCCCCTGTCCCTCCCTCATACCACCTCCATCTTTCTGCTCTTCCATAATTATTATTCCAACCTAAAATTCCCCCTAAGGGGTTTTGGGGTTTTGGGGTTTTGGGG